TTATTAGGATTAATAACAATCAAAGTCACAGCAGACAGAGCCTTGAGGGTAAATATCAACTATACAGACTATATACTGTATTTAGATATATTAATGGATTTAGAAACAGACCACAGGATTCCTTCTCCTTTTACTTACGGCATAAGAAATAAAGACGAGTTGTTTAACTAGGATTCGCACAGGCGACCAAATCACTGTGGCTAATAATAGGTACACATTCATTCAAGCTACACAGGCAAGCAAACAAAAGCAGAGGCTCATCTATAGGACATTATTGACCTGCTTCGAGCTACCTTGTCCATTTGACCTTGATGGTGATTATTTTTCCTAACTGTCCCTGGATAAAATCAGGTTTCCACTCCTGATTTTTTCTTCAAAAAGCACTTAATGAAACATTCTTGGATGGATTTCCTTCAGAGTTTCTTCTACCTGTCGCAGCACCATAACCCTTACTCATCCTCTGGGGTGTCATCCTGATGCTGCCTTCTTTCAATCTTTCTTTCATCTGGTCCCTGTGCCATTTTCTCTCCATCCCTCAATTCTGAGTCTATCCTTCCCTCCTCCGCTACCATCACTGCAATCTCTTGCTGCCTCTTTCGGAACGGAAATGTGAGGCCAGCCCCAGGAAGAATGCGAATGTCCGTGGCGGACTGACTTTAGTGTTAGTGGTCAGCTGAGTATTTGCATTTCCTTATTCGCTGATGCTATTTTAAATAGTTTCTACTTCATCACCAAGTGGAATTTAAAGGCTATGTTGCCTTTGTCGCTCGATTTTTGACTTTTCAGATATATCAGACAAACCTTTGCTTCTGTCCGTTGAAGAGAAATGCAATATAAGTACGTGGTTGGGCTTTCCCCCTGCAAGCACACTGCTCCACTCTCTATGCCTCTCATTCAATTGACTGCATGTACAGTGGCTGACGTAGACTTGGATGAGCTTCTTACATTTTCTCTGAGTGATCATTTTACAAGTAAATATGGCCGGGATCACTGCACAGCTGTTGTGCTTTAACTTATGTCTATAATGATTTTGGCAGACAGTGTTGTGGATATAAAATCTGGATTTTAGCAGTGCAGAGCAGCAGCTTGGAAATGGCTTGGAAGAGACTGCAGGTTAATGTGTAGTCTAAGTGAGCTGCACTTCAGTAGCTGTTTCATATTCACACTTGTTCTATTGTTTGCGAACAGAAACAGAACTAGAATGGCACTCGGTATAGAGGACACCTGATTCATGTTACAATAATTAGGAACAAGAAAGTAGTTGTTTACAACTACTCCACAAAAAAAAATTTTTAAACGTCCTCAATGCCGCACATTGACCGCACATGGCCATATACTAAGTTTTGACCTAGTCATGGTATCTCTCATCCCCTTCCTCCCTCTCGATTTGCAAACTACCCTCGCATCAAAATTTACGTTGACAGTTTAATGGATCTGGTCCCTCTTAATGCTGCATGGGCTCACTCCTGTGGGGAGGCCAGCCCTTTCCTACATGTGACATTTTCATGTTGAGCTTTATTGGCAGACCAGAGATAAATCACCAGGCAGGAGAAGGAAGGTGTGCCACGGCATAATGTCAGCAAGGGTCATAACTCTTTAGGGTTATTATTTAAGATTTACTACAGCCCCCTTGCTAACTGCCTACCTCTCTGAGAAGGCTTTACAGTGAATATAGGCTTCTGTCCTCGTTCGTGTGTGTGTGTCTTTTATAGCTGTGTACATGTGTGTGTGATGATAATGCTAAGGTCACATCTGATCTCCCTGGACTAAGCTGTGCTGACTCTGAGAAACATATCTGATGCATTCAAAATTCAAGAAGCTAAGACTCTGGTTGCGCAGATCTAATAATATTCTGTGCCTGAGTCTCCAGGATGCTGAAAATTGCATCCATGCCAATAACACACCTTTGGGTCTCACAGTGCTGAGGAGGTGGAAGGTACCGTGGATTGAATTGTTATGTAAAGGCATGTCAGATCGGATCGTCTAGGCACGCTGAAATTTGTCAGACAGGGCCGAGATGAAGAGGAGGCACAGGGAGGAAGAGGAGGCAGACATACTCGGTTATATTTAGAGATGCTATGAGACACATAGCAAACTGAGAGGAGTAGGAATCTGAATAAGTAGGAGGGAGACGAGGCGGTTGGCGACAGACATGCAGAGGTAGGGGGACGGGGAGCAAAGCAGGAGGGAACAACCCCTGGCAGCAGAGGAAATGTCACGGTTAGGGTTCAGTGAAGTGGTAAATCAGGAGCATCAGCGTGTCAGGGCATTTAAGGGGGAACTGGAGAGGAACTAAGCAAAGCTATATGATCAGTTATTGGTCCTGTGAGCACGAGGGAAGGTAAGAGTTATACCTGCATGTTGTCAAAAGAATTTAGACATCTAACAGAACAGATGCAAAGTGCATAAGCCTTTGTGGTGTTTCCTTTCCTGTCCAAAAAGATCTCGAATTCAAGTGAGAGTTGCCTGTAGATGAAAACCTTGTTAGGTAAGCACCATGTGCAGCACAGCGACGTCTCAAACAAGGGGGTGGTTCCTTTTTATTTGGTACAATAAAATGAACAAGCACATTAAAAAAATCCAGATGTAAGCCCATAAATGACTTTATGGCCACAAAGATTTGTATGTAAACACATTCACTTGCATACATAAGCAAAGCAGAAGCCAAATTCAATCTAACATGATGCTGATTTTTGCAAATTGTCAGAGAAGTACATAAAGCATGTAAAGCCATCATCTTCTCTGGTCTGGGATTTGATCTTGAGGAGAAAAGACAAATCTCCATTGTAAGAGCTTGTTACTGATGTAGCTGCCTCTGGCTAATGAAAACTTAAGCCTGATCATGCTTAACAGCAAATGAAATTACACAAACAAACACAAATTAAATTATGATTCTTAATTCATTATACATCCGAGGCAACACGGGGAACGCAACCATTGTAATTCCTGTCAGATGCTTGTGTAATAGCAACAAGATGCAAATGCTAGTTTGTTTGTTTATGACTATGTACAGGCATCCAATTTGGCCAGTTACAGTCAGCTGTCACAGCAATAGCCATATTTCACCAGGCACTGGCTGCAGCAGAAGTTTCACATAATCAACCTCCACAAAAGG